CAGGAGGATCCAGAGCAGATGGGTGTGCAGCAGACAGGCTTGCAGCACAGGGTCACACAGCAGGATGGCTGGCAAGGAGAGCAGGTACCACAACAGCTAGACTGTTGGCAGCATGAGGGTTCGCAAGAGCTAGCACAGACAGATTGGCAGCAGGGACTGGACACACAGCTCACTGGGGTACAGACAAGGGTAATACAAGATGCCGGGGCACAGCAGCTGGTCTGGCAACAGCTGGGGGCACAGCAGCTGGTCTGGCAGCAGCTGGGGGCACAGCAGCTGGTCTGGCAACAGCTGGGGGCACAGCAGCTAGGCTCACAGCAGCTCTCTGGGCAGTCATCCACCTGCCAGGAGGAGTTGGTGCAAGCGTCAGAGCAGATGGACATGGTGGAGGCGGCCATGGTGGGGTTGGATGGAGGAGGGTGAGGTGTGAGTGAGTGAGTGCGTGTGTGTGAGGTGCTGAGCCCTCAGCTTTTATTCACCTTTGTGGCTCTAGCCTTCCTTGTTTGGTGACCCAGCAGTCTCATTAACACTGTTCCTTGTTTAGCTGTGAGATGCCATTCACCTGGTAAACATCCCCAGTATAAACAAAACTGCTGGTCTTCCCCATCTGAGTGACACCACACCAAGGTGGCCAGAATGCATATTTGCTAAGAGGCTAAGTGGCTGTGTGGGAAACTCCCCACATCTCCACTCCCTGGGACATCACCAGAAATAGCCATGGGCTCCCCCCTGAAGACTCATTTGTCTGAGGGGCTGAGTTTAGGGAGCACAGCAAGAGGGTCCTGCCCACAGGAACTCTGTGGATGTTTCCAGAATCAGTTCTCAGTGCAGAAAGTCTCTGAGAGTCAGCATGGAGTGTGTACAAAGCCAAGAGTGATACTGTCCAAGTCACAGTGACAGATTGTGGCTGGGGGCTGCATGTCCCTATCCCTGTGTTCATGTACTGGGTGCTCCCTGTCTTGTCGTGTGGTGGGCCATGCCCATAGCCAGGGCCAGCATGTGGCGGCTGCAGTAAAGGAGCTGGTGTCTTGGGGGAGCTTTCCCCAAGAAAAAGCCACACCTCACAACCTGTCCATAGACAGGACTGCCTAAAGATGAGGCTCCACAAAGAGAAACTAAGGCGCTTGGTTTTAAATGTCTCAGTGGCCACATGAGTTGGGAGGGGATCTGCCCAATGGAACCATCAGGGAGTGCTTTGTTACAGCTCCACAGAACCAGGTTCTGCTGTTACAGATCCCCAACACACACGCTGTGAGGCAAATTGTGTTATTTTGAATCATACCAAACAGGGGACACACATATGAACCAATCTAGAATGCTTGGCAGCTGTAAATGAGACAAGTCTTTACAAAGTCACAGAAAAAGAACTTGAATTAATATTAAAAAATGTGGTGGGTCAGGTATGGAACAGTTTGTGTTGTTAAACTCTACAGACACGAGGACGCATTTATGTGTACACATACATATTTATCCACAGATGGATAAATAGATGATAAATGTTGGATGAACAGGAAGATGGATAAGTAAATAATTGAATGGATGGATGCGTGAGTGGGTAGATGAAATGAGCAAGCAGATGGATGGTTGGGCTGGGACATGGGTGAGTAGATGGATGGACAGATGGTCAGATGGACAGATAGAGGGAAGGAGGGAGGGAGAGATGGATGGATGGATGGATGGATGGATGGATGGATGGATGGATGGATGGATATGTTGATGGATAGATAAATGGGTGGGTGAATAAGTAGGTAAGTGGACGGATGAGTGTGTTAGTGGATGGATGAGTGTGCTAGTGGATGGATGAGTGTGTTAGTGGATGGATGAGTGTATTAGTGGATGGATGAGTGTGTTAGTGGGTCGATGAGTGTGTTAGTGG